GTGACTGAATAGTGAGTTTGAGCATGATGACAAAGATTGTAAGGATGACTCAGCATTGGAGAAGTTGTAATCTGTTCAGAGAATCACGATGAGTTGTAGTCAACTAAGTGGCAGCTACCAGTTGTGAGGTATAAACTTTCTGGTGACCTGGGTGATCTTCATACAAGTGAGCATTTTTTCTTAAGTCTCAGTAGCCTTGCTTTTTACTTTTTCCTGAAAAAATACGATAATTCCTGCAAGAGCAACAGTAATTATTCTTCCCTGTGCCTGTCTTAATTAATTATTTGGAGTACTGTATGATTTCCTCAACTTAACCTCACCAGAAGCTTACAGAATAGGAAAAAGAAAAATCTAAAACACCTGAATATTAACTGAGGTAGGGCATTGTATTGTTAAAGAAGCCAAAACAGAAACCAAAATAATGATCTTTTCAGGTTCAGGAACCATGGTCACACATCGTACATTTTACAGCATTTGCTGTGTCAGTTAAGATACATGAAACAGCTCATTTCTGTTCATTTTTTTAAAAAGTAGTATGTGTATATATATACATATGTGAGTTGTCTTTTAAAAGAATTTCTTTACATAAACCTGTAGACTGTGATCCTATACTTTTATATCGTTGATATACTTCTCTGACTATAAACACTTAAATTTCAGTTTTATTGTTAACCTTTATTTAAGGTGTTCCCATTGCTGGTAATGTGCTTACCCTTTTGTCAGCTGTTTCTAACCCAGGTGTCCCTAACCTCTTCCCCTCCCCTGGTTTAGCTAAGGACCCCTCTGTTGTTGGTGCTATGTCAGTTCATCATATTGAGAGTCTTTCTTTCATTACCCTTCTATTTGCCCAAGCATAATGTCCTTTTCTAAGGCCTGGCCCCTTCTGATAACATGCCCAGAGTATGTGAAACAAAATTTTAACTGTTCTTGGTGCGAAGTACCTTAGCAGCCCTTCTTCCAAAATTAATTTCCTTGTTCTCGATAAATGTCTGTTTCTCATAAAAAGGCCTTTTTCAAACTATTCTATATTTCTGTTGCTTGGTACCAAAGAAAATTCTAGGACCCGGAACATGTGTTTCTATTCAGCCTAAGTAGGGATTTGATTGTTTAGAAAATTATCTAGTAAAACATGTTATAAAATTCCTTTTTATTACCAACCCCATAATTTCATGAGCATGAATATGTCAGTTTAAATATCCTGTTCCGTTGTTAAACTGATTGTTAGATTACTGAATTTACACTTTTACCCCAACTGCTTTCATGGAGCTGCTGGGGTTGATGAAAGAACCCAGAAAGACTTGGTGAAGATCTAAGTGCTCCTTTCTTTTTAAGAATTCTGGGTTAAAAGTTTTGTCAGAAAACAAAGGGGTTTTGGATATTTTTAATTAAAGAAAGCATAATAAGACTACCATGTATCAAGTGCTATCTTTGACAGAGTCATGATGCTGTCATTAATCACAAATCTGCAGAAGTTGGTGTTTTTATTCCTGCTTTATATATATTAGGACACTAAGGCTCAGATGTAGTGACAAGCAATGAGTTCAAGGGTGTCGGAGATAATGAGGATGGCACAGAATAGGACCAGCTTCAGATCTGCTGTTCATAGGGCTGCTGTGAGTCGTACCGTACTCGCAGGCATCTGAAGACAGCAACAACAAGGCTCGGAGGGGTGGAGTAACTTGTCCAGGATATTACTGCTTTTGCTTTGTGTGGGTGTTGTTTGCATATTTATTTTTTTGCAGGAGCTGTTACTCCTAAAGGACTTTTTAAGTATTGAAATTAAAAACATGAGAAAAAAATAAAAGCTGTATCAAGCTCACAGGTACTCTATTGATGGTGGAAACCCAGTCAGTACCTTGTTGTAAGCTGTAGTTGAGTTGATTCCTAGTTTATAACAACTTCATGTAAAAAAGGAACCATGCGGACTTTTGTGATCCATCAGATTTTCCTTAGCTGAGGTTTAGATGTATGTCATCAGTCTTGTCTTCCTAGTCTGTTTTAGCCACTAAAACCTGTTCAGCCTCAAGCAACATGCAGCCCTCCACTGGGAGCTGCACAGGAGGTGGACCAGCTGGGAAGTGGACAGCTGGGAAGACAAAGACTACTTGGAACCGTCAGTGCTTCAATCTGAGACCTAAGAGTCCTAACAATTAAGACTCCAGTGACTGAATTCCCCACAAGTAACATTTTGAAGGCATAGTACAATCTACCTCTTAAACCAGTTGATGCTTGAGTTACTTTAGGCTAGGAGCTTTATTTTGTCTTTGGCTGGGATTTAATAATGGATCTCTTGAGAAATTGGGCTTAAAGGAAAGATTTGGATGGGCCATGTGAAGGTACAAAGAATGTAAATTTTCAAGTGCGTCTCTCTCTTTTTTTAATTTTATACTGGTTTATTTACAAAGTTCAAAGATTGTTTTTCACATCAAGCCTTTGCTGTTTTTCTTTCACCCATCAAATTGTGCGACCCTATAATTACCCCACCCCCCAGCCGTTCCTCACCCCTCTGCTTCCACCCTATGCCCACTTGGATCCCCATATTTGTTCTACAATAATGGTCTTCTACAGTATTTGTTCTTAAGGGATTGAGTTAGTTCATTCAGCATAATGCTCTCCAGTCCTTCCCAAGTTAGGCAGTGATTTACAAACTCATTGTTCCTGTGTACTGTGTAGTATTCCATCATGTGAATGTACTATACTTTCTCCATCCATTCAGTTGTGATTGGACAGGCTGTTTCCAGGTTCTTGTGATGGTGAATAACGCTGCTATGAATACTGATGTACAAGTGAATGTGTCTTATGATGGGATTATAGCAAAGTCCCACTGGGAAATGAGCTATCCCAATAGTTCTCCACCCTGGCTCCATATCAGAATAACCCGGGGAGCTTTCAAAAGCACAATGCCTGTGTCTTAACCCTGGAGACTGTTACTTATGGAGATTAGTGTGAGCCTAGGCATCTGAAGACTTAAAAAGTTGCTTAAGTAAGGATGATACACAGCCAAGATTGGGGATAAATGAGCTAGCCAGGGATTTATAAGCTACAACCCATAGTGCCTGCCTATGTTTGTGTGGCGCAGGAGTCAAGAATGGTTCTTATAGTGTCAAATGACTGAACTAAAAGCGAAAGAAAAATACTTTATGACACAGTAAAATGATATGAAATTCACACTTCAGTGTCCATGATTAAACTGCTCTTGGAACAAAGTCATGCTCACTTGTTTATGTAGTGTCTGTGACTGTACTGAATAGTGGCAGTGGAGATGTTGTAATTGTGTGGCTGCAAAGTCTAAACAACTTACTGTGTGACTTCTTACCGATCTGTACATTAAACCAAAAAAGCCCTCCGCCTTTGGGTCTGTTCCAGCACATGGTAATTTGCCATCATGTGTCTGGGGCTGCAAATTTTAAAGGATGTGATTGTCCATAATTTTCCGCTGATGGGCCATTTGAACCGCCAGCCTTTTGTTTAGCAGCCCAAAACACGAGGCTCAAATTTAGACTTGTTTCGTTCACATCAAAACCAAGCTTGCCCTGCAGTGGGTTTTCAGAGGCTCTGAGTTGCTTGGGAGGAGATTACCCCTCTTTTCCTCTGAGTGGCTTGTGGATTTGAATCACCAGGGAGCCTCTGCTTTTAGCTTGCCCCCCAAATCCCTACCCATTAGGCCTCCAGAGTGCCCCATACATAGCTCTTGTTGATAACTGTTGTTAACAATATGTATTCTTAAGTTTCTGTTTGCCTGTGTTATGTTTTCCCCCAGACGAATGAAGCTGGTAAATCTGTAGCAGGTTTGTTTTTATCAAATAAGATTGAACTGTGTACTTTCCCCTCTTAAAATACACACGTAGAAAGACAAAGAATAAGATGACTCAGATTTAAAGCAATATTTTACTGAAGACTTCTTAAATCCTGCCCAATACCTGTTTTCTATCCCATCCTCACTCCCCTCAGGCCTGTTTGCCTTCCTCCCTTTACACAGTTCCATGTTTTTAGTTCATGCCAGCTGGATGCCCAAGAGCATTTCCTGACATTGGCTTAATGTTGGAAAAAGAAAACAGGATTATAGGAATGATCTTAGTATAAAAAGTAATTGAGAAAGATTAGTAAAAAGATACTGATTGTAATCATCTTGCTCTGTTTCTTTTAACCTGGCATTTCACTCACCTGAATTCAGAAAATAAAGCAGTAGAGTTAGGAAAATTAACAGACAGTAGAAAACAATTGGGAAGGAGAAAGTCAGGCCAACAGATTGTTTTCTAGGGAGAAGTAGCTCCCATTTCCTTCCAAACCAGCTTGTCCTGTTCAGAACGAGATATAACCTTATGCTTAGGCATAACACTTCAGCTCTTTGTTTATTTTGTACTAACTGGATGTATCTTTATAAGCATATGCTGATTTGAATCATAGATTGAAAAAATACTAAACCCGTTCCAGTTGAACTCATAGGGAGAAAAGTGTTTGATTTCCATGTCATTTATTATTTATCAGTGAATGATAGTTTCCAGCGACCTTGAGAATCTCCTTGTGACACTGCGTGGTGTCTTGGATATTGCAGGAGGCCTCCTTCATGTCCACATGTTCTCGTCTTGATCCTGTCCTTCCCCCTTGATGGTGCAGTGGCTGCGTCCCAGGCATATTTACCTTATAGCCACCTGGAACCAGGCCAGTAATGTCATTACAGATGGCAGTGTGCCTAGAGTATCTTAAAAAAAAAAAGAAACATCATTTCTGCTGCTAATTAAGTTTCAGGATGGGTGATACTGGCTTTTATATTAACAAACCTTGTGAAAAGGCAGAAGGCAGTTCTGGTAGAAGCAAAGTTCTTATTCCTGAGAATGCATAGTTAAATTTAATTGTCCTTTAGCTTCTCTGCGCCTAAGTGAGGAGCATTGTCTGTTGGAGGATGGATGATTGTGAGTAGGGAAAAAATCCCAATAAGTAAGATTTGTCTGTTTTCTATTTCGTACCAGGGCCTTGATTTCTTTTCTTTTGGTTTTCAGGGTTCTGTACATTGGCTTGGCCTGCAATACAGCTCGCTATATTTATATTTCTTACCTGGAAAATGCCTGGACTGTTCTCCCCATGGAAGTTCTTCAAGGTAAGTTAACAAGTGGGATTAGAGTCATTTCTCTAACTGAGCTATGCCTATGTCCTTCTGTATCTCATTTTACAGAGGAAGGGTGTGTGTGTCTGCTCTTTTATATGATTTTGAAGTGGTTGTTAAGGAAGAGGTGATGTCAGGGGACTGGTTCCTGAGTTACCCTGTTCTCTGTGTATGTAGAGATAAACAGAGAGATGTGCCCACACCCTTTTGATTACACAAAGAAAGAGGAAACAGTCCTTAGACATACAGACTCAAGGTGGTTTTTATATAGAAAAGGCTTAATCGTTTAAAAGTTTTGGTGTTTTTTGTAGCTTGACTATACTCTTGGGGGGGGGAAATTTTTTCATAATTATTTTGTGCTTTCAATTATTTTTATCACATTTGGTTGTTTATAGCTAAAGCTTTATCATCTCACTCTTGTTTTCCTGTTACTTTTTAAAAATCATTGCTGAAATCTCTTGTTCTGGCATTTTCTCTTATCTTTTTTAAAAGTTTCCCTTCAAAAGAATTTTGAAATTATTTCTAGGCAATTTTTGCCATGTAGCTTAAGAGCACTGACAACCTGGCTCATGATTAGGGTAACTTCTAGAACCCAGAGTAGGGAGCTCTGGTGGCTTACTGGAAAGGAACTGTGCTGCCAACACAAAGGTACAAGGTTCAAACCCACCAGTTGCTTTGTGGGAGAAAGATGGAAAGTCTCCCGTGTGGGTCACTCCCTCTGAAAACCCACTGGAAGGTGAGCTAAAAGTCACTTCTGAGCTGATGGTACATAACAATAGTTACTTCTGAGATGATGGTACATAACAATAGATGCCAGATTAGATTCCAGAAGGAAGTCTGTTAGCAACTAAAAAAATTTGAGGTTGGTATTATAATTAAAACTTCAGTATAAGATGACTGGAGTTAAGTATCATCATTGACAGCTTAGATACTTAAATCATCAATGAGCCTGTGATTAGTGACAATTTCATTAGTTTTATAGATGATCATCATTATTATCCCTGACACTTAAACAGTAAATGTAACAAAACATGTTGTGCTGAAATTTAGATGAAACTTTCACATAACACATCAAAGCAAAACATTTCAAAATTCAAGCTTTTATGTTTCCATTGTGACAGTAAACCCTAAATGAAAAGAATTTATACACTTATTAACATTAAATTCACATGAGTGTATATATGTGCACACACACACACACACACACTACATCATTACTGATGCTAATGTATATTTATAAAAAAGGGAGTACTAGTGGGTTTAATAGTAAGAAACTACACTGCACCCCAGCAATCCCATAGGTATGTGTTTAAATTCAGAGCTGCATTCTCATCCCAAAGGCACATGATTCAAATCCCTTGCTACTCTATGGGAGAAAGATGGGCAGTTTCCCTTTGTATGATTTCCTGCCTCAGAAAACCCACTGAAGGGTTGGCCATGGGTTGGTTCTGACTTGGTGGGACATAGCAACAATACGAGTATATGTGTGTGTGTGTATATATTTATATTTGTATTTATATTTACTATTATATCTAATATTTAATAAATATTAGATATTATATGATGCCCTAGTAGTAAGGAATGTTCTATAATCCTGAAGGCACATGGTTCAAATCCACTAGCTGCTTGTGGAAGGATGGGACATCTTCCCCTGTGCAATTAATTGCATCATTGAGGAATATAACCTTGTTTCCAAATAGAAAATAAAATTTGGCTTTGTTGTTGTTGTTATGTGCCATCAAGTCCCTTTTGACTCCTAGTGACCCTGTGTACAATAGCTCCGAACCCTGCTCTATTATGTGCCAATCTCATTGTCTCTGACATAGCTACTGCCATTACCCCAGTCACTGAATCAATCCACCTCAGAGTGGGTCTTACCCTCCTATGCTGTCCCTCCACCCTCCCAAGCATGATATTTCTCTCCAGGGACTGGTCCCTCCTTGTAAAATGCCCAGAGTATGTCAGATAGAGCTTCAGAATTCTTCCTTCCAAGGAGCAGCCTGGTTTTACCCTCTCTAGGATGAACTTGTTTGTTCTCCCAGCAGTCCATGGTATATTCAGTACTCTTTTCCAGCACCCCAATTAATGTTTGCTAAGAATTAGATTTCTAGAGAATCTTAAGGTGGGGTTAAGCATTGTATCATTTAAGGAGCTATGGTAGCCTAGTGGCAAGAAGCTGTACTACAATCATAAAGGCACATGGTTCAAGGCCACCAGCTGCTTCACGGCAGAAGGATGGGCAGTCTTCTCCCATGTGATTAACTGCCTCTGAAAACCCACAGGAGGGTCAGCTATGGGTCAGTTCTGATTCTACGGTACACAACAACAACAAGAAGCACAAATATCATCATAGACGTAGAAAAGATTCTCTAATGATTTCATCTTCCTTGGATCCACAATCACCATCTTTGGTACCAGCAGTCAAGAAATCAAGAGATATATTTCATGGGAAAAGTCTACTGTCAAGGACCTCTCCAAAGTACCAAGGAACAATAATGACAGTTTAAGATGTACCTGATTCGGCAAATCCATGGTCTTTTCAATCATTTGCTGTGCATCTGAGAGCTGGATAGATGACAGAAGGATGAGAAAAAGAAGAATCAATGGAGTTGAGTTGTGTTGTTGGAGAAGAGTATTTCAATATCCCATGGTCTGACAAAAGAACACACAAATCTGTGTTGGAGAAAATGCACCCAGAGAACTCTTTGGAGTCTAGGATGGCGAGGCTTTGTTATCACATCCTTTCATACTTTGGGCATATTGTTGCTGTCAGGTCCTGTCAAGTCAAGTATGACTCATAGCCACCCTGTGAACAGCAGATCTGAGCCCTGTCCTGTCCTCTGCTGTCCTCACAATCTCTGACACACTTGTGCCCCTTGCTGTAGTTACTGTGTCAGTCCACCTGGTTGAGGGTCTTCCTCTCTTTTGCTGTTCCTCTACCTTCCCAAGCATGGTATCCCTCTCCAATGAACAGCAGCATGCTCAAAGTGTGTTAGACACAGTTTTATCATCTTTGCTCCAAGGAGCACTTGGAGTACTTTCTTCAAGACATATCTGTTCTTTCTTTTAGCAGTCCATGAGTTCAGAGCCATCAATTCTTTGGTCATCCTTATTTACTGCCCTCCTCTCAGCATCATAGCAAGGGATTTAAAAAAAAATGGCTTGATTTCTCTGCTTTCAGCCAGGATTCATCTGACATCAGCAATGACATCATAGTGCCATGGCCTATTCTAAATTCAGCTTGAACTTCTAGCAGTTCTCTGTGTACTGTTGTAGTAGTTTTTGAGTCATCGTCAGTAGTATTTTGTTTGCATGTGATACTAATGATATTGTTATATAATTTCTTTATTCTTTTGAATCACCTTTCTTATAAATGGGAACAAATATGGGTCGTCTCTTCTAGTCACTTGCCAGTCAGCTGTCTGTCCTCCAAATTTTCTGGCGTAGACTAGTGAGTACATCCAGGGCTGCAATTATCATTTGAAACATGTCAGTTAGTTGTGGGACCTCATATATTGCCAATGCCTCCCTTGCAGCTTGAATTTCTTCCTTCCTTCCTTTCCCTTGGCTATTGATCATATGGTACTTCCTGATATATTTCAATGCCAATCAGTTCTTTGTGGTACAGTGATTCTGTGTATTCCCTCCATAATCATTTGATGCTTCCTAGATAATTCAAGATTTTGCCTATAGCATCTCTAATTATTGGAACTAGAGACTTGAATTTATTTTTCAGTTCATGCAGCTTGGGAAATGCTGAGCTAGATGCTCCTTTTTTATTCTCCAATTCTAGTCCTCTGCACATCTTATTATACTACTTTGCTTTGTCTTCTTGAGTTGCCCTTTTAAATCTTCTGTTCAGCTCTTTTACTGCAACACATCTCCCCTTTGTTTTGTCTTCTCAATGCTATAGCACAAGTTTTTTGGCATCTTCTGACATCAGTTATGGATGATAATCCTTGGTGTTATCCCACATCTCACTGGTCTTTGATCATTGGTGCTCAGTGCTTCAAACCTATTCTTAAGCTGATTTTGAAATTGAGGTGGGATAGACTTAAGATCATATTTTGGTTCTCATAGACTTGTTTTAATTTCTTCAGCCGCAACTTGAACTTGTACATGAGTGAATGATGTTTTGTTCCACAGTCAGCACCTGGTCTTATTTTGACTGCTGATTTTGAGCTTCTCCAACAGTTTCTTCCACAGATACAGTCAGTCTGATTCCTATGCAGTCCGTCTGGTGATGTCTATGTGTAAAGTTGCTATTCGTGATTTTTTTAAATTGTATTTGCAATTAATACTCCATTGAACATAAAAAACTTGACCTGTCTGTGGGCATGTTGTTGGGAGGGGCTATTTCTTGGAAAGGAACATCATGCTTGGAAAGATGGAGGATTAGTGAAGGAGAGGAAGAGTGTCAGTGAGATGTATTGACAGAGTGACCTCAGCAGTGGGCCCAGGTTGTCAGAGATGATGACGATAGCACAGGATAGGACAAGTTTCACATCTGTTATTCATAGGGTCATATGAGTTGTATTTGACTCAGTGGAACCAAACAACAAGAAGCACTAAATGATTACATTTTAATTACAGTGCTGGCAAAGAATGTTGGATATACAGTGGCTTTCCAGAACAACAGATCTGTCTTGGGAGTTGTTATTGTTGTTAGGTGCCATCGAGTCATGTATGACTCATAGTGACCCTGTGAACAACAGATCTAACCATTGTTCTATCCTGTGCCATCTTCGCAATCTCTGACACACAAAAGCCCATTGCTGCTGTCACTTCATCAATCCACTTGAGTGAGAGTCTTCCTCTCCTTTGTCATCCTTCCATCTTTCCAAAGCATGATATCCCTCTCCAAGGAATAGCCTTTCTTAGCAATAGAGATGGAATGCTTCTAAAAGCATTTGGACACATTATTGGGAGAAAGTGAGCACTGAAGAAGGACATCGTTTGAAAAAGTAGAATTGTTGTTGTGTACCATTGAGTCA